TAAGGCTATGTGGGCTATGTAGGGCTATGTATGGCTATGTAGGGCTATGTATGGCTATGTGTAGGGCTATGTAGGGCTATGTAGGGCTGTGTATGGCTGTGCTAGGGCTATGTAGGGCTATGTATGGCTGGGCTGTGTATGCTTATGTAGGGCTATGTAGGGCTATGTAGGGCTATGTGCTGGCTATGTATGGCTATGTATGGCTATGTAGGGCTATGTAGGGCTATGTAGGGCTATGTATGGCTGTGTAGGGCTATGTAGGTCTATGTAGGGCTATGTAGGGCTATGTATGGCTATGTATGGTTATGTATGGCTATGTAGGGCTATGTAGGGCTATGTAGGGCTGTGTATGGCTGTGTATGGCTATGTATGGCTATGTAGGGGTATGTAGGGCTATGTATGGCTATGTATGGCTATGTATGTCTATGTATGCCTATGTAGGGCTATGTATGGCTATGTAGGGCTATCTATGGCTAAGTAGGGCTATGTATGGCTGTGTAGGGCTATGTAGGTCTATGTAGGGCTATGTAGGGCTATGTAGGGCTATGTATGGCTATGTATGGTTATGTAGGGCTATGTATGGCTATGTAGGGCTATGTAGGGCTATGTAGGGCTATGTATGGCTGTGTATGGCTATGTAGGGCTATGTATGGCTATGTAAGGCTATGTATGGCTATGTAGGGCTATGTATGGCTATGTAGGGCTATGTAGGGCTATGTATGGCTATGTATGGCTATGTAGGGCTATGTAGGGCTATGGAGGGCTATGTAGGGCTATGTAGGGCTATATATGGCTATGTATGGCTATATATGGCTATGTATATATGTAGGTGTATGGCTATGTAGGGCTATGTAGGGCTATGTAGGGCTGTGGGCTATGTAGGGCTATGTAGGGCTATGTAGGGCTATGTATGGCTATGTAGGGCTGTGTAAGGGCTATGTAGGGCTATGTAGGGCTATGTAGGGCTATGTATGGTTATGTATGGCTATGTAGGGCTATGTGTGGCTGTGTATGGCTGTGTATGGCTATGTAGGGCTGTTTAGGGCTATATAGGGCTATGTAGGGCTATGTAGGGCTATGTATGGCTGTGTATGGCTGTGTAGGGCTGTGTAGGGCTATGTAGGGCTATGTTGGGCTATGTATGGCTGTGTAGGGCTATGTATGGCTATGTAGGGCTATGTAGGGCTTGTGTATGGTTATGTAGGGCTATGTAGGGCTATGTAGGGCTGTGTATGGCTATGTAGGGCTATGTAGGGCTATGTAGGGCTATGTAGGGCTATGTATGGCTATGTAGGGCTATGTATGGCTATGTAGGGCTATGTATGGTTATGTAGGGCTATGTATGGCTGTGTAGGGCTATGTATGGCTGTGTAGGGCTATGTATGGTTATGTAGGGCTATGTATGGCTATGTAGGGCTGTGTAGGGCTGTGTATGGCTATGTAGGGCTATGTAGGGCTATGTAGGGCTATGTAGGGCTATGTAGGGCTATGTATGGCTATGTAGGGCTATGTAGGGCTGTGTATGGCTATGTAGGGCTATGTAGGGCTATGTATGGCTATGTATGGCTATGTAGGGCTATGTAGGGCTATGTAGGGCTATGTAGGGCTATGTAGGGCTATGTATGGTTATGTATGGCTATGTATGGCTATGTATGGTTATGTATGGCTATGTAGGGCTATGTATGGGTATGTAGGGCTGTGTATGGCTGTGTATGGCTATGTATGGCTGTGTAGGGCTATGTAGGGCTGTGTATGGTTATGTAGGGCTATGTATGGCTATGTAGGGCTATGTAGGGCTATGTATGGCTATGTAGGGCTGTGTAGGGCTGTGTATGGCTATGTATGGCTGTGTAGGGCTATGTAGGGCTATGTAGGGCTATGTAGGGCTATGTAGGGCTATGTGTAGGGCTATGTAGGGCTATGTATGGCTATGTATGGCTATGTATGGCTATGTATGGCTATGTATGGCTGTGTAGGTAGGGCTGTGTAGGGCTATGTAGGGCTATGTAGGGCTATGTGGGGCTATGTAGGGCTATGTAGGGCTATGTATGGCTATGTGTGTGGGCTATGTAGGGCTATGTAGGGCTGTGTATGGTTATGTGGGGCTATGTAGGGCTATGTAGGGCTATGTAGGGGCTGTGTATGTAGGGCTGTGTATGGCTATGTAGGGCTATGTAGGGCTATGTAGGGCTATGTAGGGCTATGTATGGCTATGTAGGGCTATGTATGGCTGTGTAGGGCTATGTAGGGCTGTGTAGGGCTGTGTATGGCTATGTAGGGCTATGTAGGGCTATGTAGGGCTATGTATGGCTGTGTAGGGCTATGTATGGCTATGTAGGGCTATGTAGGGCTGTGTATGGTTATGTAGGGCTATGTAGGGCTATGTAGGGCTATGTAGGGCTGTGTAGGGCTATGTAGGGCTATGTAGGGCTATGTAGGGCTATGTAGGGCTATGTAGGGCTATGTATGGCTATGTAGGGCTATGTAGGGCTATGTAGGGCTATGTAGGGCTATGTATGGCTATGTAGGGCTATGTATGGCTATGTATGGCTATGTAGGGCTATGTATGGTTATGTAGGGCTATGTAGGGCTATGTAGGGCTATGTAGGGCTATGTATGGTTATGTATGGCTATGTAGGGCTATGTATGGCTGTGTAGGGCTGTGTATGGCTATGTAGGGCTATGTAGGGGTATGTAGGGCTATGTAGGGCTATGTATGGCTGTGTAGGGCTATGTATGGCTGTGTAGGGCTATGTAGGGCTATGTAGGGCTATGTAGGGCTATGTAGGGCTATGTAGGGCTATGTATGGTTATGTAGGGCTATGTAGGGCTATGTAGGGCTATGTAGGGCTATGTAGGGCTATGTATGGTTATGTATGGCTATGTAGGGCTATGTATGGCTGTGTATGGCTGTGTATGGCTGTGTATGGCTATGTAGGGCTGTGTATTAGGGCTATGTAGGGCTATGTAGGGCTATGTATGGCTGTGTATGGCTGTGTAGGGCTATGTAGGGCTATGTATGGTTATGTAGGGCTATGTATGGCTGTGTAGGGCTATGTAGGGCTGTGTATGGTTATGTAGGGCTATGTATGGCTATGTAGGGCTGTGTAGGGCTGTGTATGGCTATGTAGGGCTATGTAGGGCTATGTAGGGCTATGTAGGGCTATGTATGGCTATGTATGGCTATGTATGGCTATGTATGGCTGTGTAGGGCTATGTAGGGCTATGTAGGGCTGTGTATGGCTATGTAGGGCTATGTAGGGCTATGTAGGGCTATGTAGGGCTATGTATGGCTATGTAGGGCTATGTAGGGCTATGTAGGGCTATGTATGGTTATGTAGGGCTATGTAGGGCTATGTAGGGCTATGTAGGGCTATGTAGGGCTATGTAGGGCTATGTATGGTTATGTAGGGCTATGTAGGGCTATGTAGGGCTATGTAGGGCTATGTATGGTTATGTAGGGCTATGTAGGGCTATGTATGGCTGTGTATGGCTATGTATGGCTATGTAGGGCTATGTACAGCTATTGAGAGAAATGTATTCCATATATTGGCTAACGGGGAACCACTATATGATGCTTACACCACGTACCTACCTGGCCACCTGGACTTTTAGAGAGAAAATATAAACAACAAAAAAGCCGAGTCTTTCCTTCGACTAAATTTGTCGTCAATGCCTACATTGACGAGGATAACAGAGAAAGAGCTAGAGCAAGAGATAAAAAACAAAGGAGACCAATTTCGTTTGGAAAAGGAACATGAAAATTTTATCTTGCAGCGGTAGTGCTCTGTCCTCCGCAAAAGCCTATATTGTAGCTATTTTTATAGGGATACCCAGCGGGAGCCTCTGCGGAGGAGAGAGGCGGCGGTTAGAAAATGAGAAATGCTCTCGCCCAGCAAGGTGAAAATGAGCGGCAGTGAAAAATAAAGTGAACAGGAGCACATACAACATTTCTTCTCAAGAGCGTGCAGCTAGGAAGTTTTGCGTTCTAGTGGTACAAAACAGCAACAAAGAAATGTAGAAAGAAGTTTGCTACACGTTCTAAGATACTTTTGCCAATGAGACCTATTGATATTTTTTGGCCGTTTTCGTTGCCATTGCCGCTTAGCACTAACAACTGTTAACCATAAAGGTTATTACCTCATTCACTAGACCCATGGTTACCGTAATATCTTACCCTTTAATTCAAACTGGACTCGAAAAAGTCCACCAATATTTGGTAATTCCCAGGCTAAAGCTTCTTAATTCTTCAGATGTTAATTATAAGACTAACACAATTACGATAAATACAAAATGACCCTCTCCTTATGGGGCTGCTCAGGGATAATGAAACAAATAAACTCAAATGGAAAATAACAAGTTTTAGAATCCCAACTGCTAGGAGGCGATCCAGTTGTCTATTTTGCAAACGTTACCGAGGGTTTGAACTCGGGACTATCGAGGACAAAATCCAGCCGCTAGCGGTCAGGGCTGGAGTTGAACTCGTGGCTTCTGGATTACAAGTCCAGCGCTGTAACCACTGGGCCACGGTGCCTCCAAGTGTAAATAGCCCTTGATTTGGTAAAGTAAATTGGCTATAGTGTAAAAAATAAAAAAATAAAAAAAAGGTGACCGCAGCTACTAACAGCGAAATCCTTGGTTCACTCGTACTAATAATTGTCACCTTGAGTAATACGAGATTATATCTCATCTTACACTTGCAGTTATGTTCAGCCAGTTCTACAGAATACTTGTAAAGATGAAATATATTGTAGAGGTTGAAGCCTCCATTAATCTGATAGATATTTAAAAGAACATTTTGAAGGCATTTTTGCATTTTGCGCCGTTGAAAACGCAAAGAACGCATAGTTAGCAGCTCATTTGCTCTAATGGTTAGCCTGTGAGTTGTGCAATTCCGCGCAGACTCAGTTGCCAGATTGAAAAGCAGTATCGATTCTGAGAGGAAAGAGAAGTCGTGACCGGATTGTTTTAAAGTTTGTTAAAGCCACGTGGTAATCAAAATGGCTACCTTTGATGATAACTGGCAGTCGAAACGCCCAACTATCAGCGAGAGAATCAAATTTATTTTCAAGAACGAATTGTTAAGCGACGTTAAGTTCGTAGTTCCTGCGTCGCTGAACGAAAGTGAAAGCCGGAAGAGTCAGAAGAGCATTCCAGCCCACAAGTTTGTTCTTGCGATCAGCAGTCCTGTGTTCTTTGCTATGTTCTATGGTGAAATGGCGGAGACTGCAGGCACTGTTCAACTGCCTGACTGTGATTATGAGAGTCTGTTAGAGTTGTTCCGTTACTTGTACTGCGATGATGTGAAGCTAAGCGGAAGTAATGTGATGCAGGTTTTATATTTGGCAAAGAAATACATGGTACTCTCACTGGCTGATAAATGCACTGAATATCTCCGGAAACATTTAGAAGCGTCGAATGTGTTCTCCGTTCTGCCGCAAGCTCAGAAATTTGAGGATAAAGATTTAGAAAGTCGGTGCTGGGAAGTAATTGAATCACACACTGAGGAAGCTCTAACATCTGATGAATTTCTTACGGTTGAGCGATCAGTTGTTGAGTCTGTCGTGAAAAGGGGTATATTGAAAGTAAAAGAAGTGGATTTGTTCAAAGCTGTGGATCGCTGGGCCACTAAAGAACTAGAAAGGCAAGGGAAGACTCCTGTTAGGAAGATCAAAAGAAAGATTCTTGGAGAGGAGATTGTAAAAGCAATACGTTTTTCATTGATACCAGAGAAGGAGTTTGCTTCAGTTGTTTTGGATTGTGACATTCTCTCTGAAACAGAGATTTGTGACATGATTAAGCACTACAATGACGTAGATTTAAAATCTCCTCTTGCATTCGTCCATTCCCCAAGAACTTTGCATCGATGTTGCAGATTTGCAAAAATAACAAACAAAGACCACATCCTTTGCGGTTATTACGATCGTACTGATGCTCTTAAACTAACTGTCAACAAACCTGTCAGGTTACATGGAGTACAGCATTTTAGCAGTGCAGTTGAGAACTTTATTGTTTCCTTAGAAGTGAAAGATGCAATAACTGGCTTTTCTCTTGCACAAAAATCAGGATCATACTTTTCAGTAAAAGATGACACACACACATTTTATGGCTTTGATGTTAAGTTTGATAACCCAGTTTGTCTTGAGATAAACAGAACATATGAGATTATCTCTAATATAGAGGGCCCTGAGTCCCTTTGGTTTGGAGAAGGTGGAGAAAAATCTGTGGACTCTCAAGAAATCCTATTTTCATTTAGCAATTCAGCGGCTTCCGGCGGTGAGACTAATCTATCTAGTGGCCAGTTTCCTTCATTTCTTTTCAGTACAATGTAGTTTCAGTCCCAATTAAGAAACATAATTTGCTTATCTCCTAGAAAGTCTCGAAATATAGTTAGCAGTTAGCTGTAAAACAGCCAAACATTTTACTTGTTAAACGTAAAGAGAGGACGTCTTTGACCATAAATCAGCAAAGAAATTATCCGTAATTTCTCCTTGATCCACTCAGTGTCAAACAGTCAAACAGAAATTATCAATATCGCTTGTAAGGACTTCACGTGACTTGTCCCACGGCTAAAGGAGCCTATTTCAGCTTTTACTTTCAGTCATAGTCTTGGAAAGCTTTTTAGAGGTTTTTTTTTCCCACGTTAACTATAGGTATTTGATACGTTAAAAAAGTAATATGGGCAATTGCAGTTGAAGTTAACTGACTGAGAACTTGCAAATCTCGATAGCAATTTTAACATAACAAAGTTTCAAGAAAGCTACTTGCACTAATGTATAGCAAAAAATGCAAGTATAGTAAGAACAACAAGTTTAGCAAACGGAAATCGAAAGACTTTAAACTACTCTTCCTCCTAGGACATTAGTATATCGTTCACTGTCACCTGCTGTCAAACTTTATGATGCTTTCTTTAAAAGTTGAGTTTTGTGGCTGCAATTAAAGATTTTCCAGTGAATGGCGATGACAATTTATGCATTCGTTAAATCAGTATACTTTAAGAT